GACGCTGTGGCTCCTGACGGAAAGCAGAGGAGCAGGGCTTGTACGGAGGAACAAGGAGACGGCGTGGGGATGGGAAAAGCGACTGGAGGCAAACGGCGCTCGCGGCTTCAGTTCCTCCTTGCGGTGACACTTGGGACCCACGGGGTGACGTACAGGAGCATGCACATGAGAGAGGATTGGGTAGCGGTCTGCTGGCTAGCTGGGCCGTGATGGTGATGGGCCGGAGGGAAAGCTGGGCTCCGGTACTTGCTATTGGGCACTGGCATGTATACACGTATATACACGTATGGAGTTCTTGCATGGCCATGTATACAGAGGAAGCAAGGAGCTTACGTGATTAGAGGAACAAGCACACCAGCCGGCATATTTGTTCACCTAGTTGGATTATTAGGAGCATGACATTGGGTGATACAGGGTGGATACGTGCCACTTCTTGATTTAGCCTTACGTGCTTCATGTAACTAAGTTACGAGGTATAGGTGCATGCACGCATGCAGTGCAACCTGTTGGTCAAGAGATTAAGGGGATAGGGATTTCCTAAACTAGTTCTAGGGTTCATGATGAGTGCACCGGTGTCCGTGACATTGATGTGACAGCCGGTATGACGTGGCGATCATTTGGAGGCACGGGCAGGTGAGCGTTCTAAGAAGGTTCCAGAAGGGAAACGTCGGGGCTTGGTCTCGTTGGTCCAGGTTTTATAGAATGAGAGAGGTTCACGGGAGAGTCGGAATAATCCTGCGAGGAATCCAAGGGAGTTGCTATAGATTGTGCTTCTCCAAAATGAAACCAAGACTCAAGCATGAGGCAACAAAAGAGCTCCGGCAAATCTCTACAAACGATTCTATATGCATGCAACGTTTCGTTAGCGGGTTTGACTCGTGTTTGGCCTAACGTTTACATGCTTCACACGATTACAGGAAATTTTTAAAAAAGTTCATAATTTTTGGTTTCCAGAAAAATCCGGGTTGTTACAATACTCCAGGTTAACGAGTCTCGTGGTTTCCCTGGAATGCTAGGTAGCATAGATTGCATGCATTGGCGTTGGGAGAATTGTCCTTTAGCTTGGAGGGGGCAATTCACCCGTGGTGATTATGGAGTTCCAACTATAATCCTAGCAGCCGTTGCTTCCCATAACCTTCATATTTGGCATGCATTCTTTGGAGTTGCTGGGTCAAACAATGATCTTAATGTGCTGAACCAGTCCCCACTTTTTCTTGATGCCTTAAAAGGAGAAGCCCCTCAAGTTCAGTTTTCAGTCAATGCCAATGAGTATAGAACTGGTTATTACCTTGCTGATGGTACATATCCAGAATGGGCAGCCTTCATGAAGTCAATAACACTTCCCCCAACAGAGAAGCATCAGTTGTTTGCTGAGCATCAAGAAGGGGCAAGGAAAGATGTGGAGCGTGCTTTTGGGGTATTGTGGGGCAAGGAAAGATGTGGAGCGTGCTTTTGGGGTATTGTAGTCCCGTTTTTCCATTGTTCGTCGTCCTGCACGCCTATGGAAGAGAAAGAGTATTGGAAGGATCATGCTAGCTTGTGTGATTCTCCACAATATGATAGTAGAAGATGAAAGAGAGGATGTTAAAATTCATATTGACTTGAATGAGAATCCAGGGGCATCCTTTGCTCTACCTCCTGAAGTGAACACTAGTTGTAATCCACGCTTTGTCGATGTCATGCGTAGAAAAGCTACTATCCGAGATCGTCCACAGCATACCCAGCTTAAAAATGATCTCATTGAGTACATTTGGCACAAGTTCGGAAATAGGCAACGTAACTAGTCATGGTAGAATTCTGAAACCTGCATGTTTCTGTTGTTTTTCCCTTCATAGTGAGAACTAACATGATGTCTTACATGTATTTTTCCAGGAATCAAGACTGGGCATGGTGTACTGAATGCTGCAGATGCTACTTGCAGGTATCCACTCTAAAATTCTGAACATGTTGTCTTGAACGTATTTGATCCACACTTGTCCACAAACTTGAACTTTTCTAGCTAATTTTCAGGACCCATATGTTTAACTTTGACACTATTATGCTTGCAGTGTTGTCACTTGATGCAAATGTGCTGGCTGCTCCATTCTACCGAAGTTGCTTCTATCTCCGTCGTCTAGATCTATGTGCTAGCGAACTCTTGCTTGAACTTATCAATGTGCTAGTTAATGAACTTATTTAGTATGGCTTGGTTGACGTTGTTTCACTAGTTGGAGAAAAAAAATTCTCTGAAGTTTCGTGGATCTCATTTCAGTATACAGTCATGTCTTGGCTTAGTATTTTTCATTTATCCACCTGTTTCCGTCATATTATTATTGTTTGGTGAATGACTACAAAGATATCTATCACAGCTGATGGCATGTACATGGGCTTCTACATGTTGACATTAAATGCTTGTATTTTTATTATAGTACATCTCTCAACCGACTCACTATACAGGTTGACTGTATGATTAGCTGTAAGTGACATGGCAGCTTCTCTCATCCGGTAGTGGGCTAAACCATTAGCCTTGCTCTAAACAAGTTGCGACTATTTTTTGCAAGGAAGGCTCTATAATGACTAGCAACTCACTAGGGTGAGGTCTCTTAGCAGTAGACTGTAACATGCATTTAATGTGAATATATATATTTCATCGTTGGCACGTGGGTGAGGTCTCTTAGCATCTATTGAGGTTATATTTTGCGTATGTGCCCTATCATTTATTGAGGTTATTTTATTTTTCATGCATTTACTTTATTACTTTACATTCCTAGATATTGAATCTTTACATGTCACCCTAAGTTGCATACAAACATTTACATAGTGTTCCTAGTGAAGAAATAGAAGTCATTTGAGTTATTAATTAAATTTGTCTAGCGTTGTGATTTTTAGTTAAAACTGCATGTTCGCCCCCTCTAACCAGTAATCCTATAAAATGATTAATCCAACATTTTTACTAACCGGTAGATGAATTAATTTAGATAATTCTAGTGTTGCTTATATTTACGGATAGATGTAGTGCTGTAGTAGTTAAGTTGGTTTCTTCTTCATAAGTGAATCATGACACTTTCATGTGAAAGCTAGTGCTTTCGTGTTGTTTAGGGATTTGGATTGTGATATGAGATTGTTGAAAACAAAAATAGAGACATCTATTTATTGAGAATTAACACTACAATAAACACTCTAAGGGATCATGACATCTCAATTTCATTTAGAAAGTGAAAGCTCTCTGCTTGTAACTTCCTTTTATATTTTAATTTATTTCAATAATTTGGGGGTGATAATATACACACATCCCAACCACCGTGCATCATATCAAATGGGACGGCCGGTCTACACACATGTCACACATATATGTCTATACATAAAATGTCTTTTTTATCATAAAAATTGTTACAATTAACATATGCTAGAAATCAACATAAAAATAACCAAACTAATGCCATGTACAAGGTAAAGCACCTTATTAGGGATTGAAACAACAATCTCGCATAAAAGAACTCAGGTCGATCCTTCTGTTTCGTCGGTTGTGTGCTGCTGGCCGCCCGGAGTCACAATTTTTTTCCCCAATGTATAGACCACAATGGCACCTTGATTGGCTCCTTTACGATTAATAATATATAAAATAAACAAGAAAGCTAATAGGGTGTTTGGTTTGAGTGTAATGAAACAATCCATCATCTTCTCTTCTCGCTCCTTAATATTTTGTTTGGTTTAATTTGCAAAATAAAATAAGTTGATCCATCACCGTTTTATTTCTCACATGCTAATATTCAGTAGGAATGGAACAAGTTATCCCACTAAAATTAAGAATAGACTTACGATGCACCACGTCATTCGAAATGAGATGTTTTCTCAAACCAATTAAAGACCCTCTAAACAAGCTTCTATTATACTACATCAAACAATTAATTACTAAGGAGCTTGTATTGTATATGTACGTAAGCTGTAATATTATACACATGAGGAGCGGATCTATGATGAGGTGGTTGTGGTGGTAGGAGTTTAAGATCTGAAATAATTCATCCATATATTGACTATAGTATGTAATTAGGTTAGGTGCTTAGTCCTTATTACTATTATTATTATAGAGAGAGGAATCAGTGGCCGTGCCAGTTTTTTTTTTAGGTCAACAACCACCTAATAATGAGTTTAGGGATTCTAAGTTTAGGGAAAGGTAGGTTGAAGCAACTACAACCTAATAATGAGTAAAGTCGATCAGGTTCAGGGTGTGGATCTAGGACTCGGACTAGGGTACTGCAACCTGGCTCAACGACCTATCCTATATAAGACTATATATGTATGTTATATTTCGTGCAAATGAATAAAATATATTACTCTAGATCAGCTAACTTCAGCTTAGATCAATGTAAATAGAGTCAGCCCTGGCCTTGCACCATTCTTGGATCCACCACTGGTTATCTTTGATACAAGCTGGCCGATACTCCCTCGGTTTCAAATTAAAATTTATTTTCGTTTTGTCCTAATAAGTCATACTTACTCACTTTGGTTAAGCTTTATACAAAAATATATTGGCATCTATCAAGTCAAGTAATAAATGCACTATCAAAATACATTTCACAGTGAATCTAGCTAGCTGGATGTTGGTGCATTTTTTTCCCTATAAACTCAGATCAAACCTAGAGAAATTTAGTTTAAGACAAAACCAAAATGACGTGTGATTTGGAACGGATGGTTGGCAGAGGAGGAGCTAGCGAGGGTACGTGCAGCTCCACCGCCGCGCGCTCTCTGTTTATATAATTAGTTTGTGGCTGCATGCATGCGTGCCTAATTAAGCTTTGGCTGTGTGTGTGTGTGTGTGTTTGCATATATAGCATATATTATATAGGTGCAAGAGATGGTTACCATGGAGATGGATGGGATGTTGAGATCCCGTCCGCGCGCCCTGTATCGTATGCGGCGTCGTCGTGCGTGCCTCTGCTAGCTAGCATATGTGACGACCACCCTCTCGCTCTGTATCTGCAACTGCGCAAGCAACGACTGCAAGCAGGAAAGGAGCGACGATGGGCATGGCGGCGGCGGCGACGGGGATGCAGCTGGCGTTGCTGCTGTGCTTGGTTGTGCTGGCGGCGTCCCCGCGGGTGGCGCTGGGCAACTGCCGCGACGACTGCATGGCCGCCTGCAACGGCTGGCACGTCGTCTGCGAGCTCTCCTGTGGCAGCGCATGCTACGGAGAAGTCGGTGAGTTTAGTACATCGATGCATGCATTCATTTTCTTAGTTTCTTCATTCATGCAATTCAATCAATTTCATCAACATACATACAGGGATCACAACCTTAAGTACGCCGGCTGAATCAGCCACAGCAGAAGCGCCTGCACCAGCACCACAAGCACAAGAAGAAGAAGAAGAAGAAGAAGAGGAGGCGGCGTGTCCGTGCTCAGGGGGCTCAAGCCATCACCGGCCCGTGGATGAACGCCAGCCAGCCAGGCACAAGCTCCGTCCGTGTCAGCTCACTTAAATTATTATTACTTGTTCCGTGTGGCCGGTTGGCCCATACTCATGATTATATAATACTCTGAGAAATGAAACAAATTATATTTGAAGAATACGTGATGATGGTGACTAACTAACTCCATTCATTCATCCATGCATGCCTCACATTTCTTCCCTTCTAGTCTACATACAGCTACAGCGCTAGCTCATTTGAGCCCAATCAGCACAACAACATTCATGTACAACGAACCCTACTCTAGTACTAGTAGTAAGTTATACATATATAATAAGGTGGTTACGGCCCAACCACCATCAAAAAGTGTATCCATCTTACGTCTCCGTCTATGTATGTATATATATTATAATAAGTTAACCAAGGAATGAAACGGAGGCTATATATATAAGTTAATAATGACATATATTTAGCAGGACTAGGACTATTCCATCACCTTTGTAGCTACTTCCAGAGCTTTACACATCTGTCATGACTGGCAGAGGCAATCATTCCAGTGAACGGGGAGTGTGCCAGTGCAGCGATCAGCCCTTCGTGCGCCTGGATTGAGATCCTCTGGTTATCTGATAAGCTCCACAGCTCCAGCGTCTGCATACAAACAATCAACCAATCATATCATATGTCTTGTGCCAAATCAGTGCCGTCTGCAATTAATATCCCTACATGTGGTTACTGCATTTCATTTACCTGATAACCGCCAACGATCAACACTTTCGGGTATCTAGGATGGAATGTGCATGACTGATATTGGTTTCCATTGGATCTTAACTCATGAATGCACATGCCCGACGATACCGACCACACTTTCACAGTGTCCTGACTTACGGATGCCAGATATTCACCATTTTCATCCCAGCACACAGAGTTTACCTCACTATTGTGACCCTAAATCAAACAAACAAACAAAAAACAGTTTACAACTTTCACATTCCAAATTCTGCATAATGTTAAGCATCTCATGCATATCGATTACCTTTGGCGGGCAGGGTAAGCTGGCTTGCTTTTCAACATCAAAAATGTTCACCATGCTTCCAGCTGCCACAGCGAGGAGCTGCCCACTTCGAGGTTGAAACCTGACTCTTCCAGTGCCACCCTGCTTCACCTGTACCACAAAGTCAATGAGTATATCCTATAATAACTGAACTACAGCAAGGATGAACAGTTGTGCAGACACATCAAGTACCAACCCGCAAAACATGAGTAGATGTAGTCTGACCAACTGTCCAGAAGAGAATTTCTCCGTTGTCCTCGCAAGAGCAAAGAACCTCTGTCAATCTTGGGTGAAAATCTACTGATGTTACATGCGACCTATGCCCATGAAAAGTTTGTAAAGCGCCACTTTCCTGCAAAAGGAGGAATAGCCATGAACCTAGGATATCACTTCAGTATTACTCAGGCTATCTGATGTTGCACCAACAATGCTGTCAAGCAAAACATAAATCAATAAGAACTAAACAGTAATACCAAGGTCTTTCTACCACCACACAAATAGAAACAAAATTCAGACAGTGTGGCTACTAGCTATGTCTATTAAAAATAAAGCACTGTCCTTCACTCCTCCTAGTCTACATGCAAGTAAGCGGTCAGCTGTGCATAGTCTTGTGAAAAGGACCAGGAAATGGCATAGCACCATGAACTTAAGTGTATGGGCCACTGTTTTCATACCACTTGTTTCTTCGACCTAAACTGCTGCTAGGTGGCCTAGGGGAGCTGGCTCTGCCTCTCCTTTGGTTCTTTTTTTCTCTACTTAATGACATGGCCTGCGTCGTTCGAGAAAAAAAAAATCTTTGAAGTGATAGTATCTAGCAAATCTAAATCAACAAATATCTCATATCCTGCTGTGGATTTTTTAGGATAACTGAAAGAGGATTCAGAGACAGAGCAAGAGGGGTTTGAAGATATGAGACAACTAAAAATAATCAAAGGGAGCTCCTGAGTTCAAACTACTAAGTCGTCACAGTGACTGGCCTATTTGGATGGTGTCCACAGTTTGCCACACAACAGGTTAGGTACACCGTACACCAAAGTTTCCTAGGTTAGTGTTTTGTTCTCCGCTATGTTGTTTGCCACACTTTTTCAGCTCTATGCCCACCTGTCATGGAATCACATCTTAGCCAAACCATGCCTAAGGTGTGGCAAGCAAATTGTTAGCCATGCATTAGGCAAAGTTTGGCAAAAAGGTCTAGCACTATGTGGGCACCATCCCAAAACACTAACCACTACTTTGTAGTGTGGTAGGTAAGGTTTAGATTTTTGTTTATTGACATGGTTTCAAATAAGCATCTACCTAACAACTAAATAGAGTAGTCATTGTAACCTGTCTTTCAAGGAAAAATGAGAAAGTGTCAAGGGCAGTGAGCCCGAGGGTAGGAGGACCTCGGCTACGTAGATCGTAGCCGCTGTCCGTGATGGCCGGCCGGGTTATACCCCCTTGCCGCCGTTCTTCGTCGGTGGGTTATTCCCCCTGCCTCCGGCTTAGGTAGAAGAAGAGAGAGGATTAGATGGTAATATCTTTCTTAATTGCCAAGCGTTTGATTACAGCATATCTATATCCTCCGGCTCAACAAAAAGAGTAACAAACTCCACTAATTAAGGACTAACCAAAATAGCTAAAAGATCTCCTACTTTCCCTCCTAGCCACTGCTGGAGGCCGTGCCCTGCGTGCTTGCCGTGCGTGCAGCAGCGCGTTCCTAGGCTCGGCGCATGTCACGGGCCCTATGGCGCCTGGTGTACACTTGTTTGAACATGACATCTCCCTCCCCGTCGAGAGCCAGCTCGTCCTCGAGCTGGAATTGGGGGAACTTGGTGCGGAACGGCGCGACGTCTTCCCAGGTTGCTGATGCTGCCGACGTGCCCTTCCATTGGATGAGCACCTGATGTACGCCGCGAGCCAGGCGGTACCGCACCGCGCGCTCGGGTTCTGGGCTCATGGCGCCATGATGCAGGAGCGGCAATGGTGGAGGCGCAGTTGGCGGCGGCCCCTGATACTTCTTGAGCAGCCCCACATGGAACACATTGTGGATGCGGGCGCGGGAAGGAAGCTCCAGCCGGACGGCGACCTCGTTGATGAGTTCGACGACGCGGTACGGCCCGAAGAAGCGCGGCTTCAGTTTGCCGCCCACAGCCTGAGGAAGAGACGACGCCGCGCGCTGACGTAGGCGAAGCAGCGCCCAATCACCGACCTGATAAGTGATGTCTCGGTGCGCACGGTCGTAGTGGCGCTTTTGGTACGCCTGTGCCTGCTCCAGACGGTAGCGGATGTCCTCCAGGAACTCCGCGCGCTCCTCCATGCTCTTGGCGACGGCCGGCACCCTGGTTTCCCCGGGTTCATAGGACCGGATGGAAGGAGGATCACGCCCGTAGACCACGCGGAAGGGGGTGTCCCGCAGGGACGTCTGGTAGGCCGTGTTGAAAAGGAACTCCGCCCACGGGAGCCACCGGAGCCACTCGCGCGGCCTGTCTCCTGCCAAGCACCGCAGGTACATGAGGATGACGCGGTTGGCCGACTCGGACTGCCCGTCGGACTGGGGGTGAAACGCCGTGGTCATCTGCAGCTTGGTCCCCATTAGCCGCATCAACTCCTGCCAGAACGTCGACGTGAACACCGTGTCCCGGTCGGAGACCATGGACTGTGGAACACCGTGGAGGCGGACAATGTCGTTGAAGAAAGCCTGGGCGACGGATTCAGCGGAGTACGGGTGTGCCAATGGGATGAAATGGCAGTACTTGCTGAACCGATCCACCACGGTGAGGATCACCGACTTGCCGCGGACCCGTGGCAGCGCCTCCACAAAGTCTAGCGCGACATCAGTCCACACGCCCTGTGGAACCGGCAGTGGAAGGAGACCCGCAGGATGCTGGTGCTCGGACTTGTAGCGTTGGCAGACTTCACACGTGCGCACCCGTTCCTGCACAACTTGCTTCATGTTAGGAAAATGGAAGTCACGACGCAGCCGGTGGAGCGTCCGCTGTACGCCTTCGTGTCCGTCCTCATGTATGGCCCCCACAATTTCTTGTAGCAGCGGGGAGTCGGCCGGGATGTACAGCCGCCCGGAAAATTGCACCATGCCGTCCACCGCCGCCTGTGGAGTCGGGTCGGGTGCCAGCCGTGATCTCGCCATGGAGAGCAACAAGGGCCGGGTGGTCCAGCTGGGCCTGCCGGAGCTTGGCGATGAAGTCGAAGCGCGGAGCAGAGAGGGCAAGGAGCTCTCCCTCCACGGTGTCGCGCCTGGACAGCGCGTCGGCGACGGCGTTCGTCGCGCCTGGCTTGTACTCGACGAAGAAGTCGAAACCCAACAACTTGCCAACCCAGTGGTGCTGCGGAATGGTGGCCAAGCGCTGGTCCAGCAGGTACTTCAAGCTGTAGTGATCCGTCTTGACGGTGAAACGGCGCCCAGAGGTATGGCGCCCGCCATGGCGCACGCCGCTGGACCAAGCCAATGAGCTCACGCTTCGTGGGTCGCCAGGCTTGATGTCGAGGCGCCACCGGCCGGTGAAAAAAGGCGATCGGATGCCCCTCCTGGATGAGGACAGCACCAAACCCGTGGGACGACGCGTCGCACTCGACGACAAAGGACTTGTCGAAGTCCGGATAGCGAGCACCGGTCTTTGAGGTGATCGCCTCCTTGAGGGCGAGGAAGGCCGAGGCGACCTCGGACCCCATCGCGAAGCCCTCCTTCTTGAGTAGCGCGCGGCGCGCGCGGCGATGGAGCCATAGTTGTGGATGAACTTGCGGTAGTATCCCGAGCCCCCAAGGAAGCCACGCACCGCCACCAAGGCCGAACGAGGTACCGGCCACCGTGAATGGCTCGCACCTTGGCGGAGTCCATGGCCACCCCGCCTCCGATCGTGTGGCCGAGGTAGGAGACAGAGGCGACCCCGAACGCACACTTGGAGCACTTGACGAAGAGGGTGTGCCGACGAAGCGCGCTGAGGACGGCGTGGAGGTGACGTAGGTGGTCGGCCCATGACTTGCTGTAGATCAAGATGTCGTCAAAGAAAACAAGTACAAA